TACAGGATGGCCTTTATCGGAAGGCTCAGGGAACCACTCAAGGGGACGTGACTGCGACTCTTGCCCAGCCAATTGTTGACCTCCGACTTCCCCAAACCAGGGGGCCGAGAAGAAGTCGGCATCCCAGCCTGCCCCTGTGGCCAGAAAGAGGAAGCTGAAAGCTGATGAGAAGGAAGTTGCGTCTTCGGTGGCGGAGGTAGAATCTGATTCTTACACTTACTCCTCATAGGGCGGCACTCAGGAGGGAACTCCGGCGCCCCGCCATACAATCCGCCTAACCATGCGCTCGAACTCCGCTTCTATGTTACACAGCAACGTGAATCTGGTGGCTAGCTTTGGCTGTCACTCCTCCCGATGGTTCCCGGTGGTATTTTGTTGAATTTTTTTAGCATGTTCATCATGCAGTGTAGATGATGTCCACCAAATTTCAGCAAAAAAAAATAATTAATCGGGAAGTTAGTCAACAATTTTTTTGAAAATAACCGCATTTTATATGTATATTTGGCGCTGTTATCTTTCAAAAATCATTTGACTGTCTTCCCAATTGAATTTTTTGCTTAAATTTGATGGACGTCATCTATACTTAATGAAAAACATGCTCAAAAAAATTTAGTAAAAAATATCTCCAGGAACCATTTCTAATTGAGGTGGCGGGACCACCCCGTGTCGGACCTGACCGAAGAGCAATACTACTTATGATCCCTAATTCCCTATACTCTTTTCTACTTGATTAGGGGTAATTTCAAGTTTCCCCCTTGACGGCTTGACTCTATAGTTTTCTTGTCTTCTTTCCAAATGCATTTTCAGTTAACGTGGATACGTGATCATATATGCACATTACTCATATGTTTCAAATTAATTTTTCAAGACTTAATTAATTATTGCGGTGTACTTAATTTCTTATCAGCTAACTTTATTGTTAAGTTCGATGTCTCTAAACAATATTGATATTCTCTAAACACGAATAAGGCCAATTTGAAGCCAAAATTTGAAAAGCTCACTCTGAGATATTGACGAAGTTGAAGATTTGGACGCATATAAGAGATAATCAAGTCAGTATTGTCGTTGGGATTTTAGGAACTTTATCTAAATTTGTAAGTGAATAGATAAGTGATAAATAACTACTATAAAAAATCAGCTTTGGGCTTAAAAAAGCAGAAAAGAGTGTTTTCGAGTGACAACTTGTATAACTCACTCAAAAATTAGAAGCTATAATCTTTTTTTTACTTGCATATTCAGTTATATTATTAACTCTGCCATGATATCATTTTTTTGTATCATGTCTGTCCCAAGCCAGGATAAAGGAGGAGGGTGTTATGGTAGGCGTGTGATGGCCAACAGTATCGCCTAGTCACATCACATGATATGAATCGAAATATGAATATTGCTAATGCTAGGTCGTCACCCGTAAGTGACGCGTCATCCCTCCGCCTGGGGGTGGTGTCAAATATGCAAGGGCGCGCTACACTTCATAGACCTGGGTGTGGTGATAAGAATGCTAAGGTTGCTAGGTCGCCGCCCGGAAGCGCCGCGTCATCCCATTGCCCGGGGATGATGTCAAATATGCAAGAGAATGGTGGGGTCCGAGATGGGGCTAAGAACAGAAGTGGGGTGCTAGGTTGCGTTTTGGGACATTGAATGTTGGGTCTCTTACAGGCAGATCTTCCGAGGTAGTCGAGGTTATGAGGAGAAGTAATATAAGCATTATGTGTGTGCAAGAAACTAAATGGGTTGGAGAGAAAGCACGCGAGATTAATCCCGGAGGTTTTATGTTGTGGTATTCGGGGAGAGATAAGACCAGAAATGGGGTAAGCATTATTGTGGCACGTGACTATGTTGAGGATGTGGCAGAAGTCTCAGGAAGAACGATCGCATCATGAGCATTAAATTGGTGATAAGGGGTGAGATTGTGTTTGTGGTAAGTTCCTATGCACCACAAGTGGGATTGGATGCATCTACAACTCAACAGTTCTAGGAAGATCTTGAAGACGTGGTGCGACGAGTGCCAAGGGGAGAGAAGTTGATCATAGGAGGTGACCTTAACGGGCATGTGGGCTCGAGTCGTGATGGCTTTGAGAGTATTCATGGCGGACATGGTTTTGGCACTAAGAATGAGGGGGGAAAGAACATTTTGGATTTTGCCTTGACATATGAGTTGGCTATAATGAACACTTGGTTTAAGAAAAGAGACTCTCACCTTGTAACCTATAAAAGTGGAGCTAATAGCACCCAAATTGACTACTTCTTAGTACGGACCACTTGGAAAACTAGCTACACTGATTGTAAGGTTATTCCAGGTGAGTGTGTTGTCACTCAACATAGGATGCTTGTGTTTGACTTTCGAGGTAAGAACCATAGAAGACAAGTTAAACAACAAGTGGAGCCAAAGATAAAGTGGTGGAGGCTTGAGGGAGATCTTCAACAAAGATTTACACACAAAATGGTCGGTGAAGATGTATGGCGTATTGATAATGAAACACATGTGGATGATGTGTGATTATCAATGGAGTTGACCATTAACAAAGTGGCAAAGGAGGTACTTGGAGAATCTAAAGGATGTCTGCCACCTAAAAAGGACATGTCTTGATGGAATGATGAGGTGAAACAAGACATAAGGAACAAAAGAGATTGCTACAAAAGTTGGGGACAAGTTGGAGTGATGAGAACATAGAAGCATACAAGGGAGCTAAAAGACAAGCAAAGAAAGCTGTAAGGGAAGCACAAGGAAAAGTGAACAAGGAGTTGTATGAAAAGTTGGACTCTAAGGAAGGAGAACTAGATATTTATAGACTTGCTCGTCTTCGTGATCGCATGACTCAAGATATTGCAAAAGTTAAGTGTGTGAAGGATGTCGATAAGAGGATATTAATGGATGACGGAGAGATAAAAGAGAGGTGGAGGTCATACTTTGATACACTGTTCAACGGGAACAAAACGCAAGATATCAGTGATTTGTCCATACCAGATTGTATGGTAAATCGTGATTTTGTGAGGAGGATCCAAACAACGGAAGTTAAAGAAGCTCTGAGGAAGATGGGACGGAAGAAAGCAGTGGGTCCAGATGGCATACCGATCGAGGCTTGGAGAAGTTTGGGAGAGAGAGGCGTCGAGTGGTTAACAAGTTTCTTCAACATGATTTGGAGAAACAACAAGATGCCAACGAGTTGGAGGAAGAGTACTCTTATCCCCTTATTTGAGAATAAAGGTGATGTACAAGAATGTGTCAACTATCGAGGGATTAAGCTTATGAGTCACACCATGAAACTTTGGGAGCGAGTGATTGAGAAAAGACTTCGAAGAACTGTGAAGATTTCAGAGAATCAATTCGGTTTTATGCCTGGTCGTTCAACAACTGAGGTCATTCACCTTCTTCGGCAACTTATGGAGAAGTATAGAGACGCTCATAAGGATCTGCATTTGGTGTTCATTGACTTAGAAAAGGCATATGATAGGGTACCTCGAGAAGTTCTTTGGTGGGCCTTAACTAGGTAAGGCATATCACGCAAGTATATCAGCATCATCATGGATATGTATGAGGATTGTACTACAAGTGTCCGTACTAGTGTAGAGAGGACTGAAGAGTTCCCTATTACTATCGGAGTGCACCAAGGATCGGCTCTGAGCCCTTTCTTATTTGTCATAGTCATGGATGAACTTACGAAGTCAATTCAAGATGATATACCATGGTGCATGATGTTTGCCGACGATATTGTATTGATTGATGAGACGCAATCAGGTCTTAAATCAAAGTTGGAAGTATGGCGACAAACATTGGAGAATAAGGGTTTCAAACTAAGTCGGAGTAGGACAGAGTACATGAAGTGCAAGTTTGGTGGAGGTCGAAGCAGTGGTAATAGCGGAATTACTCTGGATGGTAAGGAGATACCAGTCACCGATATGTTCCGTTACTTGGGCTCCATAATTCAGAAGGACAATGATTTAGATGGAGATGTATTCCATAGAATCAGAACAGGGTGGATGAAGTGGAAGAGTGCGTCAGGATTTCTATGCGATCGAGGTATGCCATCTAGACTGAAGGGTAAATTTTATAGGACAACAATTAAGCCTGCATTACTGTATGACGTAGAGTGTTTGGCGGTGAAACAATGTCACTTTCAAAAGATGAGTGTGGCAGAGATGTGCATGCTGCATTGGATGTGTGAGCATACTAGGAAGGACTGCGTGAGGAATGAGACAATCAGACAAAAGGTGGGAGTTGCACCTATTGAAGACAAGATGCGGGAGTCGCGCCTACGGTGGTTTGGTCATGTGCGTAGAAGACCGAGTGATGCATCTGTCAGACGAGTTGAGATGTGTGGAGAAAAGTCAGGGAAGAGAGAGAGAGAGGAAGACCCAAATAGACGTGAGTTAGGGGAGTTCGAAGTGATATGCTTCTTCTGGAGTTGGATGAGGGCATGACCTTGGAAAGAGCTAAGTAGAGGGTGGGTATTCATGTGGAAGAGTGATCTCGTATCATTTTTTCCCCTCATCTTTTTTTCCTTGTTTTTTATCCTTATATATAAGCATTATTTGTATCCTTTATATTTTATCATTTTTATTTATATTCATATGTTTTTATATTATCTTTTTATAATAGCTTATCTTTTTTATCTTTATTTTCTTTCTTTTCCTTTTGGTGGTGATATCATGTATCGATTCATGTTAGGCGACCCCAATATCTTTTGGGATTAAGGCTTGGATGTTGTTGTTGTTGTATTCAATTATATTAAGCTGAAAATTTTGTTCTTGGAGGGGGTTTTGCGCATGATTAAAATTATAACATATGAAAGTTTGACATATTTTTTAAATCATAGAGGACTAATGTGCCGAATTTATATTTCAATAGGAAATTTGATGCATTAAATCCCACAAAAAGCACATATATATCACCAAACACTACCCCTACTTTTGCTTTTCAAAATCAATTTTTTGTTCAACATTTTTTCTAAAATCATTTAAAAATTGTTTTTTTAAAAGCAAAAGTTATTGCAAACACTCCATTGAATTTGAACAATATTTTACTGATATATGGCATGAGTATCAATTAAACTATTGATAGTGAAGAAGAAGATGAAAGTTGACTTGCATATTAACTTTCTTTTACATATTGCGGGGAGAAAAAGAACAGTCGCTAAAATTAAGTTCAACCCAACCAATTGAACCAGTCAGAAAAGTAATAAACCGTTCAGTTGTTAATCTCCTTTGCCTTATTATTATATTCTTCCAATTCCTTCTTGTAAGCTTCCATTGCTTGGGCAGCCTTGTCGCTCCACACTTGTTTCTCTTCTTCACTCAATTCCTGAATCCATACCACCAAAAACAACAATCAATTACAATCTTAGTTCTATTTGAGTGGCTAAAGCATACAACTTTTGAGCTTTGCGTTGGGTTCTACCTTCCACTTTATGGAAATGATTGCATTAATAGAGGTTGTATTGGTTCCTGGCTTTTCTTCAACTATCTTCTTTCTCTCCTCTTTGCTAAATAGGAGGAATGAAGAAGCAGGTTTCTTTGGCTTGTTTGGATCTCTCTTTTTGTCTTCCTTCTGCTTCTTCTTATGCTCGTCTTTCGTTTTCTGCAATTTTTTAACCAAAGATTATTATCACCATTATTAAAAGAAATTTTCATTAAGATGCACTTAACACTAAATGATCCTTTAAACCAAAAGTCTTGTGCAATCGAAAGGAGTAAATAATACTCCCAGAACTTTCTGTAAGATATACAGAGCAAGGAACAAAAAGCAGATGAAAAATACTAACCTTAATAAGATTTTGAACTTTCTCCTTCTTCTTGAGCAATTGCATTGCCTCCTGCTTCTTAATTTTCATCATCTCCTCCTCTTCCTTCTCATGAAAGGCGGCTTCTTCTTCCTTCTTCTTCTGATAAGATCTCATTTCTTGCTCAAACTGCTCTCTGTTCTTTGCGGCCACCTCTTCATAAGGTGCTTTCTGTTCATCCGTTAAGTTCCTCCATTCCTCTCCCATTATTTTAGCTGCCTATAATTAAAAATAATATCACCAATATTAGATTAAACATGCAAAGTTGCAGAGAATCCAATATCATGACCTTGATGATTTACCTCCACAGCATTCTTATTCTCAGCAAGAAGAGCAGTGCGGCGCTCATTTGAGAACAAGAAAAAGGCAGACATTGGCTTCTTTGGCTTCAATGGATCCTTTTCCTTTCTATATACAGAACCCAATTACGATGAGAATCGAGTGAAAAGAGCAGGAACATAAACATTGGCACACCACAAGGGAAAAAACAGGGATAAGATCATAAGACTCATCATATACAAGGCCATGATCTGATTTATAGTATCCTTTGACCATAAGTATGAATGTGAAATCTTACTTTTTCTTTTTGTTTTCCATATGTGCCTCTTGCTGCTGGAACTGAATGTATTGCTCAAGCAACTCCAACGCAATCTTCTGCTTCTGCTCTTCTTCTAGTAGTCTAAGAGCTTCATGTTCCCGCTTGTCATTTCCAACCATCTTCAAATACATTTCCTTCTCTGACTGATACTTTTCCTCATATGGCTTCTTCTCTTCCGCACTGATTGTCTTCCATTTTGCAGCTAGTAGATTTGTCACCTCCTTAAACTCTGCTTTCGGGTTTTCCTTTTTCACCTGAGAGTTTCCAATTCACAATTTCATTTCTACAATTCCCAGGCAACTAAGCAATAATGCACAAGCAGATTGAAACTACCAAATTTGTGTGTGTGTGTGTAGTTAATTAACTAACCTCATTCCATTGGTCTTTGCACCACAAGAGATAAGCTGTGGCTGGCTTCTTTTTCCTTGGGTCTTTCACTTTCTTCTCTTTCTTTTTTTGATCTCTGTCTCCCATTAGAATTGGGAAATTCTGCCAAAGATTTCACATAAATTAGATCAACCAGTGACTTGATTACTAAAAATCTGTAGACTGTAGTCATGTTTGTTTGTTTAAACTTATGATTCTATCTGAGAAATCCGTTTAACAAGACAATAGCTCAACATATACCGGAATATTTATTTTTTATATTTGACCAATATAAAAACTTTGTCCTGAAATTACCCTGAAAAAATGGGGAAACTTACAAGGATGGGTTTAAACTCCTTGGTTTTCTGAAGTTTCTTGAGTTCAGACTGCAGCTTCTCCTGCTCCTTCTCCTTCTGTAAAATCATTTCATCCCTGGCCTTCAAGAGCTCCTCAGTATGCTCCTTTTCAATCTTCAACTTCTCAAGCTTTTCCTGCATCTCATAAAATGCCTTCTCGAATGACGAATCTTCTTTTTGCTTCTTTGCCTTGGACGCTCCCACACCTTTCTTTGGATTCTTCCGGAGAAAGCTCTCGTGATTCTCTTTCTCGGCGTTATTTCCGGACGGAAATGCAGAATCCGTCAAATCCGAGACTAATACTCCGGCCATGATGTTGGCCTCACTTGACGAAGGCCTTTGAGGCTTCAGTGCCTTTCTAGAGTTTTCTTTCTTCTCTGGAACAGCATCCATGGCTTTTTGGTAGCTCGGAGAAGAATCAAGTGGGTGTTTTGCTGATATGGCTGCGACAGATCTCACAAGAAAACAGGGTATTGTAACTTTAAATATCTTGGTCTTTGTATATACACACATAGAAGTAAGAACACTGCCTAACGGTCGGATTTTTTGTTTTTTGAAATTCAAATGGAGTTTGATATTGAAATGGAAATATTAAAAGGGAAATTTTGCGTTTTTACTTCAAACTTCGTTTTTATTACTCCGTATTGTAATTACCAAAGATCTTGTACTTTGTAAATAAATTAGTAAACCATTTTGCATCTAAAAAAAATAAAAATAAAAATAGAGCAAAGTTTAAACATCAAGATAAAAATAGGTGGTAAATTCAAATTCATCCATATGAAAATTTGAACTAGGAAAAGAGAGGATGCATTTGGCAAGGAGTTAATAAAATCATCATATTTCCTTGAGAATTATTTTTAAGGAGTGTTATTTAATAGTAGAAATAAATAAGGTAGTGAATTTAATATTCTTCAGCCAATTAGAATGAGAATTTAGTACGATTGCTAGGCAAATTATACCGTGCAACTGGCGCACCATGAGGATGGTGCGCCCGGTTGCAAAACGACGCAGCTTGCCCCTTTTTTTTGCTTTTGTTGTTAAAAAATGATAATTAACTAGTTTTGTACACAAAACTAGTTAATTCACTACTTAATTTGCTATAACTCGAATTAATAGTTAGATAAATAGTTAATTAGTTTTTTACAATTTTTTATTAATCGCTACATTTTTTAGATGGATCGTCCTAGATATTCGGTTGATATGGGTAACCTCGAGCGTAACCGAACGAAAGAGCTTGCGAGGAAGAGATCCCGCAAAGGTAAATCACATATCGGCTCTTCATCTCAAAGTCAAGATGATTTTGATACGGGTTACGTAAGGAGGGATGGGGATGCGATGACCGACGAACAATTCCAACTAGAACAAGAATTGCACCGACATAATTCCCGCTTTTTTCAAGTCCAACCGAGGACCATTGACGAAGAAGAGCTCGAGGATGAGGACGACGATGTGGAGGAAGCAATTCCGGAGAGCCACGACGAGGAGGAGGAGGAGGGTGGCGGCAGTCATGACGCCGACCAAGCAGCCTCATCCCAAACAGGTACAAAAAAAAGTAAATCTGAATTAATGGCTAATAATTTTACTAAGTGGAAGGACCCGAACACCGGGAATTGGACCGCAACTTGCAATTGGTGCAAGAAAAACTATAGCTTGGGGATTTCCGGCGGATACGGATCCGCCATAAGACACCTTAAGTCCAAACACCCGGTGGAGTATGCAAAATTAGGCGGCGGAACGGGGAAGCAAACGCAAATATCGAGGTTTGCAAATAACCAACAAGCTTTTGGTAATTTCTCATACAATGATGCACAAAATTTGACAGGTATGGCTAACTTACTTGTTGAAGAAAATTTGCCTTATTTGTTTTCTGAAAGTCTTGCTTTTCGTGATTATGCACAAACTTGTTTAAATCCGCAATATAGAGGTTATAGTCGCAAAACGGTTAAGAAAGAAATTTCAAGGCTTTATGGTGCGGAAAAGGTAAGGTTACAAAATTATTTTGCAAACTTTGATGGACGTGTTACTGTATGTTCTGACATATGGGAGGATACTTATCATAATTAACATTATTTGGGTCTGACTGTACATTATATTGATAATGATTGGCATATGCATAAACGTGTTCTTGCTTTCCGTGAATTTAATGATCGTCACACCGCTGAACATATTTATATTTTGATTGAACGTATTTTAATTGAGTATAATTTAATTGATAAGGTGTTTGCTATTGGTTTTGATAATGCTACTAATAATACTGCTGTTATTCCTAGATTGCGTGAATTGTGTGGTTCTACTTCTTTGATGGGTAGATTTTTTCATCAACGATGTGCATGTCATGTTCTAAATTTATGTGTGCAAGATGGTCTAAAAGCGTTGGGAGCATCGTTGGAGGTAGTCAAGGGGGGGATTAGACGTATTTGGGGTAATGGACACCTTAGGAAAAAATGGCATGATTATTTGATAGAAAGAGGTGAGAGATATGTGGATTTTCCAAAAGATTTAATTTGTCTATTCGTTGGAATAGTACCTATAAATTAATTGGAGTTCTTCTTAGATATAAACAACATTTTCCTGCTTTTATGAAACAATATGATAACTATATTATAAACTCGGCTGAGATCGACACCTGTGAAAAAATTTGTAATGCTTTAATATATTTTTATAATGCAACTGAAACTTTTAGTCATGTTTATAAACCTACCTCAAACCAATTTATTCGTGAAGCTATTAATCTCGCCGGTGCTTTTTCAAATTTTGAGAATGCTGATTATGTGAATTATTTTGCTGGTTTTATGAAGGAAAAGTTTTTAAAATATTATTCACATATTCCGCATATTTATGGTATTGCATTTGTTCTCGATCCTCGTTTTAGACTTGGTTCTTTAGAAGAATGTTTGAATTATTATTATGCTGCTTTTTTTGGTCCATTGCCAATGTATGAGGACAACCCAATTGATCCGAAAAAAGAATACAACGAGGTTAGTGATATATTTTATGCATTATTCAATGAGTTTCATGCACAATATGGCAATGCGCCCCCTCCCCCGACACAAACATCATCTAAAGGAAAATCAATTTTCAAATCTACGTTTGCCAATCTTATTAAAAAAACAAAATCAACTCCCGCTACACAACAAAGCACAATTAATGAGATTTCTTTGTATTTAACTTATGATGTTGATTTTGAAGAAGATGATGATTTTGACGTACTAAACTGGTGGAAGGGAAAAGAAATAATGTTCCCGGTTTTAGCAAAGATGGCTAAGCAAGTGCTATCAATGCCGGTTTCAACGGTTGCCGTGGAACAAGAATTTAGTTCGGCCGGCAATGTTCTAACACAAACCAGAACGAGGTTGAGCGCTGAATCTCTTGAGATGCTTATATGCTACCACGATTGGTTGAAAGCAGCACGTAGAGCTCAAGAAATTGACATCACTCCATCCCAACACTTTATGGATGAATCTACAGAGGGTGGCTCTACTTATGCCGGAGATTCCGATTAAAAACAATTATAGTTCCTATTTAATTTTCAAATGTAGTTCCTATTTCATTTCAAATAAATGCACTTGAAGTTTGTTTTTTAATACTTGTATAAAACTATAAAGTATAAAATATAAATTAAAAAAAAAATTTACCCGGCCCGGCCCGGCGGGTGGCCCGACCCGTGAACCGGGCGGGTGGCCCGGCCCGAACCAGACCCGTCCAACCCTCGGGCCGGTCCCGGGCCCACTATTCTAGAACCGGCGGCCCGACCGGGCCTAGGCCCGGCCCGAGCCCGAGCCAGCCCGAATCCATCCCTACTTCCAGGATAGTATGCCTCAAAATATGAACCATAAATAAGTGGAACTCTAGTTGACCACAGTTCATATGCATTAGTGAAAAATGGTGGAAGACTCATAAGCGGGTAAGGGTCCATACAAACTGTGCAAAAAAAGTGTTCCATGTTAGTAAAAAAATATAATATAAAAAAATAGTTCATTAAATAAATTTAATATTTACCTCCCACTCCCTTAATCGGTCAAATTGATCCCTATAAATGCGTACAGTGAATCTACTAGGGTCCGACCAGTTATACCGACAAGCCCACCTATATTTAACGACTTATAAGACAAATCATAAAAACCATAAGAGAGTATAATATAAATTGCCGGTGTCAGTGAAGTTTACCTAGCACCATAGGGCAAATCGAATAAGTGCTCCAGTGGAAGAACCCCTTGGGGTCGAACCATCGGCAATCTCTCTCATGCCCAAAGTTATAAAAGGACTAAACATCCTCCCATCGAAACTCTGTCCGCCTTCGCCGCTTCACATAAGTTGTGGTACAAATATGCCAACACGGCCGAGCCCCAACTCCACCTAGTCAAATTCTCTAAGTTGTCTTGCAACAACTCAAGAAAGTACAACGACGCTCTACAACTAGTGCTAGGAAACAACAACCCACTGAGCAACTGCCAAATCAACGCTTTCGTATGACGAATAATGTCAATTTTTGGGCTCCACGATGATAACGGAAAGCGTTTAATGGCTAGCATTCTAATGTTGTTGGATGATACTAAATCTTTATCTAGTGGCCTGAAACCAAGATAATCATCACACATCTGCATCCATTCAGTCTTACTATGTGTCGTCGGACCAGTAAGTGGGAGACCGTCAATCGGTAACCCGAGCAGCACCTGTGCATCTTGCAAGGTAATGCCTACCTCGCCAAAAGGTAAATGGAAAGCATGTGTTTCTGACCTCCATCTCTCAACCAATGCAGTGATAAGACCCCAATCAATATTGATTTTTCTTAATCGTTCAGGTCCATGAAAACCTGATGCCCTCAACAGTTGAACGACTCTAGGATGACGTTCACCATCGTCGTTGGCGGATTTGGGGAAAGTAATGCACCTCAGTTTCAGGTCTCTCAACTCTTCAATTTTCCACAATTGATTAACACGGTGTTCCCCGGGTCTCATCACCAATACAGAAAGTTTTATGGGCCCGGGGTGAGGGTGTTCTCTTTGTGTAGCCATGAAAACCTAATAATATATTAACTTAATTTCTATTCAACACTCATAATGTGTAATACGAATTATAAATGTAATTAAACAACACTATTATATTACAATTTCTAATACTCTGTAACTAATTACAAATTTAATTAAACAACACTATTTATAATACAAATTATAAATGTAATTAAACAACACTATTATATTACAATTTCTAATACTCCGTACCTAATTACAAATTTAATTAAACAACACTATTTATAATACAAATTATAAATCTAATTAAACAACACTACTTATAGTACAATTTGTAATACAAAAAAATACACCTAATTAAACAACAAAACTACTATTTCAAAATTTAAATTCTCCGAAATAGGAAATAGGAAAGATTTCTACAAATGAATGGTGAACAAATTATTAAAAATAAGGTTAACATGCACATTAGTAAATTTACACATACATATTCGATAAATTAACACTAATCTTTCCTATTTGGTAAATAAACTAATATTTGGTAAGTTTCGCATTTCACTTTTTTTTATAGGTTCCTAATTCACAATTAAAAATTAACACTATTATAGACTAATTTCATTCATAAGTAACATA